CCGTCTTTCCGTGGCTGCGGCCGCTGCAGGGTGACGAGCGGGGCCGTGTAGTTGCGGTCTCCCAGCCTTGGGAGATGCCCGGGCCCGGCTGCCCCGTGCTGCCCGCGCGCGGAGGGTCGCTGTGCCTTTTCGCCGTTTCCCCCGCTCCGCCTTCGCTTTTAGCTCTGTGTTGGGGGAGGTTTGCCTTAGTGGTATGGTTCCCCACCCGGGGTCTGTGTGCGTGCAGAGATGTTTTAATTTAGCTTGTTTTTGGTCAACTTCCTTAGGATAAGGAGAAAAAGAAGAAGGAGAGTATTTTGGACCTCTCCAAATACATTGACAAAACAATCCGAGTGAAGTTCCAAGGTGGGAGAGAAGGTGAGCCTACGGGCAGCACTTGGCTGGTAGTGAGGCACGTGAATTTGCAGCATACTTTGCATCTTGGCTTTTTTCCTCCTCTTCTGTGTCAACTTTTGTCTCCTATGTGATCATATTGCCTTCATTCAAGAAAAGATGAGTAATGGATTCTTTTCTTTGTTGCTATTTGCTGTTACAGGTATGAAGCTTCTTATTGTGTTTTGCCTTTAATCTTTCCAGTAGCCCCCATCACTGTTATTTTATCTTTGTGTTTCATCCTCTTTGTGTCCTTTTCTCATCATCTTCCATTGGTTTTCTTAAAGTATCTTTTTGGCTGTTTTTGGTGGGGGTTGTTTATTTGTTTGTTTTTATTGCAAGGATGCACTTAAAGCACAAAAGAAACAAAGCTTCAGAGCAACACATCTGTCTTCCCTTTCATCTGTTAACTTCCTGAATGTGCTGCCTGTTGTTTTGAATTCCTAGATTATTCTAACATGTTTTACAAGATCTTTTCGTCACTTTCAAGGCTCTTGTATCCTCCCCTTTCATCCGTCCTTGCTCTGCTAGCATATATCCATCACTAAGCAGCTGATAGTGCCATCTGCAGACACTTGTTCGTCTGACAGTTCACATGCTGTGTGGAAGTGCTCTGCGTAAGCTTTTGCAAGGCTAGCTGAGTTTGTTTTAAAATACCATTTTCAAACTCCCAGTTGCTCTGGATGCTTACTAGTTTTGAAAGTTACTAGGAATCTTTGATCAGTGGGTTTTTTGTATTTTTGGGGGCAATTGACAATTCTATTAGTTCTATTGGTTTAGATTTTCTTATCAAAAAATTTGCTCCAAGTTTCTTTCTGTTTTTTTAAATAGGATTATGGGAGTCATATCTTTTGGTTTAGTGTCTTAGCAATGATCGTAATGCTGGTAATCAATAGATGTTTTCAAGATGGAAAGTTATTCTGTGCAGTCCTGCAGTTTCTTTACTGACCAGTCTTGTAGATTCGTATTTGGTTTCCTGCCAAAGTGCTTGGCTCTGTGCAATGTATCCCTATAAAAGCAATACTTATGTTGAAAAGATTACAATTCAGGACGGAAGACAGGACACCTGGAAGATGGGTCACCTGAGGAAAACACTTAAATATTATCCTCTTGGTTCATTTTCCCATTCATCTTCCTTAAGAGCTTTTTTTAATGATATAAATTGTGTTGATTTGTATGCTGAGGTATTCTTAAAATGCCCCTGAAATTGACTGATAACAAAAATGTAAAAGTTTTGAAGAACATTTTGAAGAACTGGCTGAAAAACCTGAAGGCTTCCATTGACACAACACAGACCGGTTTCAGCTTGTGCTTTTACATTTGCATTGTGATAAAGAGGGCACTATTTAATATCTCTGGCTTGGCTTGTTTGATAGCCTTGCTTGAGGGAGGAGGGCCTGGAACTGGAGAACTGAGTCCTGTGTTGCCACAGTCCTATTTTTTGGCAGGGGGTGTCTCTAATCGTTCCTTTCTGTGTGGTCTTTAATAGCTAGCGGAGTCTTGAAAGGATTTGACCCTCTTCTGAACCTTGTGCTTGATGGTACCATTGAATATATGAGAGGTAAGTAACATGCGATTTGTGTTTTTTAAAAAAAAAAATCTTCCCCCCTGCCCCCAAATATTTCGCTTGATAAAAAACATTCTGTTCTGTGAGTTGAATAACCAGAAACTGCAGCTTGAGATCATCCAAAGTGAGATTTGTTCACAGTTAACTATGCTTAAAGGAAGGGTTAAGATAACAGAGGTTAGGTTAAGGGGCATTGCTTGTGGTAGAGGATTCTTATTAGTCCTTTTTGACCTCCCCTATAACCCATCTGGTCCTTGTTGTCCTCCAGCACTTGAATGAAGTAGCTTCTGTCCTCTTAAATGAGGCCGTTGCCTTTCACTTTGTGTATACCATTGGAGGAGGCCAGTTCACACACAGCATGAAAAAAAACTCAGTAAAAATTGGTATCTTACTGTCTTAAACTGTTCTGTTAGTGCGATCTTTGCATTTCTGTGGAACTAAAGCCTTCTATAACCTCTTAAGGCTAGCACAGCTGTGATTTTTAGTTTTATTTTCCCCTGCAAGCACAAATGTTCCTCTTCCCCTTTTTGCTCCCTTAAATGAAAGCGTCTTCTCATGTTAGGGGGCAATCTGTTTTCTAGAGTGTTCCCTTGCCTGTTTGCAAGGAAGCATCTCAAAGTTTAATTTTGTTCTTAGGAGGGAATTTTGAAAGATGAGCTTAGTGCCTTTTTACAAAATATTTTGACATCTTAAGGAGTGTAGAATTGGCTCTTGCTGTGTTAAGAATGTTCATCTGTCTGTCCCCATCCATTGTCTCGCTTGATTCAGTCTGGGCACAGACGAACAAGGAATTTGTTTAGTGCGTTCTGTAGTCAGGGTCTTTGTCTGATTTGCATTGATGCCCAAATGTTTGTCTGAAAGGGTATTTGGAATGGGAATAGGAGATTCTTTTAGCATTTGTATGTATGTATGTGAGTGACAGGGCTTTTGAATTCCTTGCATGCAAAGCAGAATGTGTATCCTTCAAATTGTGGTTCTTTATTTGTGGTGGGTGCTGCTTTGAAAACAGATAAATCCTGAAGACATCAGATATTATTGCCGTTTCATTTTTATAGTCCACGTGTTCAGGCAATGCAGAGAAGCCCCGAAAAATACTGTTCGTCTGTGCTTTTTTGAAGCTGATGGGATTTGGTTTTTGTTTTCTTTATGCTGCCATTGTAACCACAGACCTCTGCTTTTCAGATCCAGATGATCAGTACAAATTAACAGAAGACACACGCCAACTGGGACTAGTGGTCTGCAGAGGAACTTCTGTGGTTCTCATTTGTCCGCAGGATGGAATGGAAGCTATTCCAAACCCTTTCATTCAGCAGCAAGATGGCTAATGCTTTCTTGGGACTGTCTCTGAAGACTTCAAGGGTGCAAATCATTGGAGGAAACTATCAATGTGTGAAAACTTTCTGTTTTGGGGGAGGAGTTTGAATGTGTGTTTGCTAGTGTGAAAGATCAATCAACTTTTATTTTATGGCTTTCTGTAAGTGGTGAGAGGATGGCTCATGCTGTGTAAGAAGTTCAGTTCTGATCTTGTTGAAATAAACCTGAAACTCTTCATTCTTTAGAGTTGACAGGAGAGAGTATATCATCTAGAAATTGTATGAGACCTTCTTGATATTGTGAGTTTTGAACCAACCACGTAATGTTAGTAAAGAGCGCCCTGAAGATTGGTAATATGACTTAAATTTTTAAATACATTTTTAGAACATGATTTTGTTCCTCTTAGATGTCAGCACGTAGCTGGGAAGCGTTTTGCATTGTGTTTTAGGCTTTCTGCTCTTGAGTTCCATCTGTTTTGCCTGCTTGCTCCAGTACATGCAGGAAAATTCCTTTTGTTGTGTGATACCTTGTTATCACCTTTACAAACTACGTACCTAAGAAGATATTTTCTAGGACTTGTTCCAAATCTTGTGGGCTGTGGTCTGTGACATCAGAATGTTCCTGCATTTCTAGAGAAAGACTAGACTAACTTCTAGGGTAAATGCTGTGTCTTGGCTGAGTGACAGGAACATTATGGAAGTATTTGTTTGATAGTTGGAATTTTAGGGGAAGAATATTTAAGATCCTAATGTTCTATTACAGGTAGTGCCTGGGAATATTGGATATTTTTGTATCTTAGATGTCCATTTGTGGTTTTGCTGGTTATAATTTCCTTTGTAAGTAAGCATTTTTTTTAACTTCTTTTATACTTCATAAATAGCAAGATTTGAGGAGTTGTGAATGAATAAATACAATTTAGTCTGTTCTTATATTCCTGTTGTTTGTTAGTCTGAAGAGTGCTGTACAGCTGATACTGCAATTCTCCATGCTTATAAATCTAAATTAAATTTGTTCAGGTGGTGGGTAAGCATAAGGAAATGGGAACAGACCAAATCAAAAGCTGTGCTCCATCCTAAGGATGGAAGTCAATGAGAAGTGACTGATAGCTTCTGGACCCTGCTCTGAAGAGTCATAAGTTTTTGTCTTTTTAAAGACTGCCCGGTATAGGATGCCTACCTATAGACTATGGGTAAATAACCAGCTTTTACCAGCTGCTTTTCCTGAAGTCTCTTTAGAAGGAAGCCACGGCTGAGGTTCTAATGGCAGCCGTAGTGTTGTTCCTGGAAGTCCTCAAGAAAACATGTTAGGGACAGGATGCATTGGTCGTTCATTTTGGCAACAACCTACTCCCATTCATAGCCTTTCCTGGGTCAGCTCTGGAATTGATGGGCATTTTGAGTAAATCAGTTTGAGTTCAGTATCTCAAACTCCTCCAAAAAGCTGTGAAAGTAAGGACCGGTTGCCTTGTGTGGCATATTGTCTCTAAACTTGAGTGCTTCTGGATTTTAATCTCCTAGGAGCTCATTCTTTGCTCAATGCCCCCAGTGCTAGTCTACAGAATCATGCTCCCTCCAACACTATGAGACTTGTTCTGCGTGCAGTGACGCAACTTCTAAGGAGACTCTAAGGTGTTTGTGGGAGGAGACCTGCTGAAGCTCTATCTTGAGTGGATTCCAGGCTGTCAATACAGAGGACATAGAACAATTGCCTGAAGTAATGTGTCAAGTGTTTAACTCGGAGGGGCATGTTTTCAGGATTTCCTATTGGCAAATCTTGGGGAGCTCCCTACTCAGTAAATAGGTTGTTGAATCTTTGTTGTAAGGTACGTACTGTCCTTGTCTGCAGTACAGTCTTCGGGCTTATATTTGGGAGCCAAGTACCTGAAAATAAGAATATAAAAGCAAGCATGAATTCTAAATGCACGTGCCCTTTTCTGTTCCATTCATTCCTTAACAGTGAACTCTTACGAGAACATTACAACAGCAGTCTTGCGGAAGCCTTTTTCAGAAATGCAGCAGGGAAGCTCCAGGAAAAAAGTGCACTTGATTCAGATAGCACTATTCTCTTTGCTGACCGTCACTGAAAAATGGGACTGAGTCCTGCTGGGGGGAGTTCTTGGAGTGTGGTGCCCTAGTTCAAGGTCACTATGCAGATCCCCCAAACTTCGCGATAGCTTGGTATAAACTATTTGGAAAACAAGGTGTATGGGATCACAGTAATCTGTTGCTTACACTGTGACTCTGTTTCTGTAGAGCATTGAGGATGGCTGTATATGTGACTTTCTTCTAGATGTAAGGACTCGTTGCTTTCACCCTCATCTCTGACTAAAACATAAAGATAAGTAGGTATGAAATATTGCAATCAATATGGAATTTGGCATCAACTCTGCTGATGAAAGATGTGGGTTTGGAAAAATGGATGTTTTTTCCCAGGAAGTGTCAAACTTTCCAGAGTGTTTGATTTTGAAAAAGGAAAAAAATCATAATAAATTGTTTTGTTCTAAGTGGGTTCAATGTTCATGTGCAACTTCCTGAGATATAGCCAGCTTAGGAAGAGTTTGGTTGTTTTACCTTCCTGCTCCTCCTCTTCCTAGTCCAGGCTTTTTCCTTGGATAACAACTCCTATAATTCACTATGGCTTTACTTAGCTAAGGTAGAAGCTAATTAAAGTTGCCATTTTTGGTTATACAGCTTTCCTGCTATTGCCGCTCTGAAAGCAGCATGACAGAAGAGCTAACCAGGAGGACAGAAAACATGTTCTATTTTTAGGACAAGATTGGCTTATCTTGTATTTATCCTAGCCAGAAGGATAACATTTCCAGAGACCTCATATGAGTAAAGACTGCGCAAGGGCTGAGTTAAAATTAACTGCCTGACAGTTAACAAACATGGAGTCTGCACAAGAACCAGAGGAGCTGGGACCTCAGACAGAAGTGATTACAGACACCATTCTTGAGGTTGGAGAGAGACTCTTTCAGGTCAGCCGCAGGGCACTTTCGCTGCATAGTCGTTATTTTGAAGCCATGTTTTTTGGGGGCACAAGGGAGAGCTCTGAACACCATATAGTGATCAGAGGAATTGAAGCAGTGCCTTTCCAGGCACTTCTTGAGTTCACTCGCACGGCCCAAGTGTTTATAGATCGAGAAAATGTTACCAGTTTACTGGAAACTGCTGATTTTTTTCAGTTTGATACTGTGAAACTGTTTTGTGAGAAATTTCTGGAGCGAGAGCTGCATGTTTCCAACTGCCTGGGCCTGATGACTTACTCACAGCAATTTGCCTGCGTAGAGCTGCACACGTCGGCTCTGAATGTGGCTCTCACTCACTGGGGAGATGTGATGTGTCAGGAAGAATTTAAGGCACTTCCCAAAGAAATGCTGATGCAATTCCTGCAAAGTGATGACCTTTTTGCTCCTCGAGAAGATGTGGTTTTTGACAGTATTATGAGGTGGATAATGGAGGACCCAGCAACAAGGGAGCAAGACTTCTTGGATTTGGTGGGAGAAGTCAGAGTCGCTTTTCTGAGTCTATCCTTCCTTGATATCTTGGTGAAACGCAGCAAGCACCCTGGAGAGAAAGATACTTTCTCCAGACTAATAAAGAAGTTAGACAGCTGTCCTCCACCCAGCTGGCAAAATGTGGAACTGTCTTCTTATGCTGGCCGGAGCTATGACACCTTATATGTTCTGGGAGGAAGGCATGACAATAAACAGCAAGAATTATTTCTATTTCAACCTAAAACAGGGACCTGGCAGGCTTGTTCTCCTCTGCAGCGTAGGAACCTCACCCAGTATGCAGTGGCAGCAGTAGGTAATGCAGAGATGTAGCTCAAGTGATGGTAGTAGGGAGTGGGAATGAGCAAATGCGAAGAAAAGTTGGGGCCTTGGAGACCCAAATGCAGTGAGTTCAGCTTCCTCTCCTATAAAAACACTTTCTCACTAAAAACCTCACTTGTGAATGAACACATCTGTGTTCATTTGGGTTCAAAGAATGGTTGGTTTTCCTTAGTGCTGGAAGAATGTTAGGAAAGGCTGAATATTCCTTTTCATATAGCAAAAAGAGCCAAGTTACTGAATCGTTCTCACAGTAGCTGTATCTCGAGTGAGTCTAATGACTTCATTTGAAGAAGCATGTGTCTTTTAGGCCTTGAGCCTTCTCCTTCATGGTGGTTTTGACAGATGGTGACTTATGATTTTTAGTTGACTTTGAGTTAAAGCTACCCAAGGATGCTGTGAAATCCTCATCCTTGGAGATTTTCAAGACTCTTCTCAAAAACATGGCTACTCTAATTTAGCATTGGTGATAGTCCTGCTTCAAGTGGGAGGGGTTGGGCTAGAGAACCTCAGAGGTCCTTTCCAGCCAGTGTTCTATGATTTTGTGCAGGCTTGGAAGGAATCGCTGCCTTCTTTGGGCCCAGTGTGCCTGACAGATGATAAATCAAATGTTGCAAATCAATAAAAAGAGCAGCAGTTTTCTCTGCTTGTCTTGCAATGTTCCTGTGACAGGTTTGAGGTCATTGCATTTTAATACCAGTGCTGGCCCAGAAATCTCACTGTTATGGTCTTACCAACCTAAGGTGGAAGCTTATAACCCTCCAATCAAAGAAGAGTAACACTTTCAACTCGCAAATTAATTCATGTCTTTGATTTTTTCCAACTGAATGTGGAAGAGATGAGCCTCATTCCTCAAGTGAGCTTCTTTATGCCTGTGGGGCTTTCTTTAGGGGGCATGTGTTTATGAGAACAGAGCAAGATACAGCCTGGGGAGAAATTAAGAGCCCAGTTCTTAGGAGCAACTTTCAGCTTTCATATAGCTGATATTTTTCTCTGTTGTATTCCCAGGGAATTTTGTTTTTGTGACAGGAGGATGCTTCCGGGATGAGTTTGTGTGGTATAGTGTTGATTGGGTGCTGATCTACAATTGCTTGGACAATAGCTGGCTGGAAGGTCCTGCCATGAAGAAGTCTCGCAATAGTCATTGTGCCGTAGGAGCAGGGCTCTACCTATACGTACTTGGAGGGAGCACAGATGAAGGGATAATTGCAGCAGTGGAGCGCCTGGCTTTGATGGACTCCCAATGGGAAAGCATGAGTCCTATGGTTCAGCCTGTGGAAAGAGGAGATGCAGTCAGTGTAGGAACCAGAATCTATGTTGTCTGTGGCCTTGATGAAAATGGACATGTATATGGTGGAGTGCAAAGGCTGAACATGGAGACGGATGTCTGGGATGTCATCTCCTTCTCCCCACTTCCCAGGTAAGAAATGCTCCTCTAGGCCCCAAAGGCAGGGAAATATTTGCAGATAATTGCGTGCTGTCAGGGTGCCTGAGAAGAGGCCTTTTCCTTTTGTTTGTAGTAAATGACAGCTGAGTCCCTGATGCCTTTAGTAGGGCTGGGATTTCAGTTCTAGCAGGTTTTGCATGATCCGTTTAACCATACAGCCTTATCTTTGGGCACTGTGTTTTCTCATTCTCCTCCCACCCACCCCCTCCTTTTTTCCTCCTTTAGTTCTTTATAGCATCTCTCTCAGATGCTATAATGGTGTGCAGGTTTCTTTTCATGGTTGCTTTTAGAATGGACATGATACAGGACCCAGTGGCCTGGGGACAGACTGTTTTCTAGAGCTTCCATCTGTGTTTGGAGTCCAGATAAATAAGCGAAGAGGAGGCGTTGATCACACAGACATAGCATTGATGGCACAGATATTTCTGCCCAGAAGACCAGAGCAGACAGTTCTTGCGGGTGCTGCAGTTTTATCTTGTGCAACATTAGAAATACAGGTATCAGTATTAGCAGCTCATTTCCCCTTCTTAATTAGAGTCGAAGCAATTGGAAAGTCACATTATTTTAAAATATGAAATACAGAATCCCACTGCACTTACCCCAAGAGCGTGGAGCTAAGATCTTGCAGTTTTTAGACAGACATCCAACTC